TTCCTGCTGCTACTATTAAGGGTCATAATTTAGAAAATGGAACTCCACTTTCCAAAGCACTTGAAACTCTGCTGTTTAGCTCTTGAAATATGTTTGGTCATTAGTATGATACAACCATAAAATAGATCACAAATTGTTTTATTGAGAAGAGCATTCTTAATGTTTCTTTTCATTAGAAGACTGGAGAGCTGTGTGTCATGAAGAAATACCTGAGTTTCTGGAAATTCAGGAAGTCTATTAGAATGTTATGGATGTTGTTGGTTCTTGAAGTGATGGGTCTGTCACTCAGCTTCAGCCTAAACCTCTTAAATATTTATGTTTGCAGCCTATTCAAATTATTAACAGCACTATTGAAATGGTAAAACCAGGGAAACTTCCCAGTGGCAAGACAGAAATTCCATTTGAATTTCCATTGCATATGAAGGGGAACAAAGTTCTGTATGAGACGTATCATGGTGTCTTTGTTAATATTCAGGTAAGGCAGTCATATATGTAAAGAAAATCTAAACTTTTGTTATCTGCAGAATGTATTCTAAAGCATCTCTTATTCCATGGAAGCAGAGGATAAAGTTTTGTGATAAAGTTTTCTTTTCTTAGTGCAATATGTTTTTTTTTCTCAATTTGAAGAATGAGCAGAAAGTTAGACATCCTTTGAAGTAAGTAGCTTTTAAGCTTCCCTTTATTAATATAGCGTTCTTCTGGTGTGTACTGTATTTTTCTAGATAGAACTTAAGAGTAAAAATCATTATACATGTTAACCTTTTAAGTACTAGTTTGTAGGTAGTTTCTAGTTGCCTTTTTTGGTTTCTAGGAGTCAACACTTTCCACAGGTGGTAAACACTTCTTAAATGTAGCAAAGGAACCATCTTGAGATCTCAGAATCCCATTCATATAATGTTGCTTTTAAAAAAGTTGTTGCAATGTCTGTTCCTTTTTCTTTTCCAGTAAGTTTTTTTTCATTGGAAATTGTTGATGGTAATGAGACTGATCGATGTAACAAGAGATGTACAAGAGAGAATTAAAAGCATACTGGAAGAAGGGGCTTTGGGCTGAGAAAGGATAGAATGTATTTGTCATGCTTGTTAAATCTTGTACATTTCTAGTACAGGGTGGTGTTTTCATCTAGTTCTGACTTTATTGTGAAAGAAGTGCATTTACCTTTTTGTAGATAACCTATATAGTAGTACATACCCAGATACAGGTGTGTGTACTGTTAACCTAGTACCAGTGAGATTTTTGTTAGCATAGTAGACAAGCAATTACTGCTAATAATACTTAAAAATGAAGTGTACTGACTTACCAGATCCATTTTAAGACACAGGGATAAATCCTACAGAAACAAAGCTACCTAGTGTTCAGAGTCTGTTTTCCCTCTGTCATTTACGAGAAATGTCCTCTAAGTAGAGGAAATATTTCCATCACTTATAGTTTCAGGCCTTCCATATGGAGTAAATATTCAAGGAATTATGGCATAAACAGAACAGTAACGAGATGCCATGCTTTATATACCTTGCCAGAACTACCGTAACAAAAATCTGATCCCTTCTTATGCTGTAGACAACTACATCAATTTCCTTCGTGAAAAAAGACTGCACCAGTGTCCTTTTGTTCAAAGAAATGTGGCTGTGTAATTTCATAATGAAGACTCCAACCAAAGCATTGAGAGCTTGTAGCATCTTCAAAACCATGAATTGTTTGCTTTCCTGTGGAGATGAGTAGTAACGTTTTCTGCCCAAATCTGTGTGTACTACATGCTTGTAACAGTCTTGTGGAAACACAATTTTGAAATTTGACCTTTTTTAATTAAAAATTGTCTTACCGTAAGTGGGTTCATTTGGGTTTTATTGAGGGAAAGTCTTTCTTCAGCTATCTCTTGAATGTAAATATTGTGTTAGAAGATACTTTTTCTTACTATTTTGGTTTTTTCTTTTTTTTTTTTTTCTTCAAGGAAAAAGTTGAAGAAGCCACTAAATGCAAAAGTTTTCAAACCAGTGCTGCTGAAGAATCACTGGGTTGTAAACCTTCCCCCACACAAACTTGTAGCTCACAGATGAGACTATTGGATTTGATGACAAAGTAGAAACTGTTAGCTATTTAGCTGAACTGGAAGTCTTATATTACAGTCTGAGATTTTTAAAAAACTAACAAACTAGAAGTAACTAAAAAAACCCCCCTTGGTTTTTGTCTATGTTCAGATGGTTTTTTAGCCTTTTTTTCAGTCTTGGCTTTCTCCCTAATGTAACATCTGTTGTTTGTGGTACATATGTCAAAATGGTGCGAAACTGGTTGAGTTGCTTTCCATAATCCAGATAACTTGCCTATGATCAATATCGGTTGTTTTAAGGTAGACTTTAATGGTGAATATTTGTTTTATCATTCCCTCTCTCATCTATGTAGCTTCTCTTTACAAGTTGGGGATAAAATGTAATTAAAAGATTAATCATTAGATTTCAGCCAACCTTTGACAGTCCTGAAGAGGAAAATGCAGTTTCTCCCAAGCTTATTTAAGGTACACTGATACCTGATAAAACAGATATATAGATATAAATTGGGGAACATTAAGTCTGTTTTCTAGAAAAAGCAGGCTTGAACTGCTTAAAAATGCTTTCCTAATTTTAAATAAATCAAAGGAAAGAGTTCATTTGCTTCTAACATATTTAGATTTGTTCTCTGTTCAAACTGAGAAATGGAAAAATAGACTACAAACAGTATACCACCTGTTTATTTTTTTTCATTTGAGTAATGAAAGGTGCTGTTTAAGAAACACTTCCTAAACCTCTGTCCAACTCCTGTGCAGTTTAAAAGCAAGCCTCTATTTCTTGATCTAGGTATTAGTATGTTAGCTGGGGGTTCAGTATCAAGATTCAAGTCTCTGTTCTCATGCAAAGACCTTCTAATTAGACAGTGATGGGGAGGCTGTGAGACAAATTGCAAGGCATGTGTGGCAATTGCAATGTCCTGCTGCCTCATTGCACTGCATTCCCTGGTCTGAGCGAAGTGTAGTGCAGTAGTAGAAGGCTTGTTCAACAGTCATCAACTTCAGTGGAAACCATAGTCTGTGATGGGCAAAGATATGCAGCCCAGTCTTGTTCTTGCCCACATATTCAGGTTATGTGCAGACACACCATGAACTAGAAGTTATGAAGCTTAGTCCCTTAGTCTGAGTGTACTTGGTTTTGCCAATTCCTCATCTGTAAAGAAGGAACTGAAAACAAAACTAACAAAAGCCCCAAAATGCCACCCCAGCAAATTCCCTATCTTGTGAGGACATTGAAAGGCTATGTTACAGGTGCTGAAGTGTATGATTACTGTGAGAACCAAGTTGCGCTATTTTCAGTTGCTGGTTCGTGGCTCCCTTTTTAGGGGAGAAAGGGAAGGAAATAGGCAGCAAGTTTTTGAAGAAGGTTCAGCTATATAGTTAAAGACAGTTCCCCATTAAATATGCTTATAACTGTTCCGCTGCTAAATTTATTGTAAGACTGAATTTAAAATTAGAGGGGCTGCAAATATACCTTATTGATAATCGCTTATCCAAAGCATGGTGAAAAGCAGTACTGTAATCACTTTTAACTGAATGTAATTTGGGTGCTGAAGCCATACAAGAGTACTGCTCTCTGTCAGTGAATTAGTCCCTCGATCTCACAGGTTGTAACGTAACACAGAAGATATGGAAAGCATTTGCAAATGACTCTGGGACTGTAAACACAAAGAAAAATTAGCTTTCATTTGGGAGCATCCAAAAACATTGTAGATCTCTTGCCTCTTTCCCCTCTCCCCATCACTGGTATATATGTTACCTACTAATCTCTTGGAAATGATGCCTTAAATATTAATATCAGTAACATTCTGCACGTATGCAATAAGATGAAAAGTTAAGAGAGACAGAGGAAATCTTAACTGAGGCTCTTTTCTTTTTCTCTGCCATCCTGTTCTTGCCAGTATACCCTACGGTGTGATATGCGACGTTCTCTGCTGGCAAAAGACCTAACTAAGACTTGTGAATTCATTGTCCATTCACTGGTAAGTGTGGTTTGTATTGACTATACAAAGTGAGATTTTTTTTTTTTTCCAGTGAATTTTGGCAGGTAAGGTTAGAAAACCAAGTAAACCCATGTAATTTGTAGTAGCAATACATGAGATATGTATGAGTAACGGAAGCTAGCCTCAAAAAAAACCATCCAGAAGAGCTAGGGTGTCAGTTGCTTCTGATTAGAATAACGTGTCTCTCTCTTCATTTAAAGAAAATGGTACAAAGAGGATTTGGATTATAAGATGTTTTTATACTGCACTGTGAGTTTATTTTCTTATTCATCATTTGAGTTCTGAAACAATAGTGTGGTTAGATAAATATTATGATGTTGTTCTAAGCACTGATTCAGATTATCTGAGCATTTCTTGGCCAAAAGTTCCAGGCACCCACAATGCCTGTCCTAGAAACGTGAGTTCATTGGTAAAGAGAAAATATCTGATTTCTGTTCTTGAGTCAGGGCTCTAAATCATAATTCGTCATCTCAAAGTATCAAAGTTGGGACTGTATCAAGTTGGAAATAAGAAGCTTGTCGGCTTAATTGCTTTGGCTATTAAGTAAGCCCATGGTTGGCAATATGGTAAGATAACTAGGTTAACAAATATCCACATCCTGTGGTTAGTAACATGGAGAAAGCCTTCCTCCTGTGGAGGTAGCATTGTGGGATGATACGTGACTGTCTCACAAGAAACGCTTTGCTGCTTGTTATTTGAAGTTCCTGTGTCAGATTGGTTTTTAGTTTATACCGAGTTGTACGCATGTCCAGAGCATCTGATTTCAGTACAGACTGTGCAGGCCTAATTAAGTATCTCTCTTTCCACCCACAACTTGCCAGAACATACTGTTTGTATCATTCCTTTGAACTCTAACAGGACAGTAAAGTATTAGATTCTTTTGTCTGTCTTATGAATAATGGTGGAAATATGTTATTTTAGTTCTATAGTACCTTTTTTAAAGATTTAGCTAGATGCTATAAAGAAGTTTCCTGTTGGTAAGATTTCATTATTTTCTAAAATGTATTATGCTACATTTTATTGGTCCATTATTACATTTTAAGTAAGCCACACTTGTCAAAATAGTGAACAAATTACATATTATGCAGTTTCCTGGTTTTATTTCTTGTTCCCACTACAGCACTTCTTAGATCATAAGTGAGTAAATCATGAGTCTCTCAGTCAGGGTGAATTAATGAGGTTTTACTGAACATATAATTCTCACTGTCAGTGCTCAATGTACCATTTCCCTTAACCGTATTCTTTGCCAGAATTTGTCATTTATGGGAAAATACAGTCAATCTTTTGCTAATATCTTCCATCTTGCAGCTGGGCAGCAGAAGCTATTTTGAATTCTTAAGCAGTGAGGCTAGATCCTAAGAGTTCAAGTTAAGCCCGTTGGTGGTGGTGTGCTCTGCCAACTCCCAGTTACATACAGTGGGTCTCTCGTAATTGATGCTGCGCTGGCCACTTACTCTAAATATGTTGGGAAAAGACAGTGTGCATCACTGAGATAAGGAGAGAGAGAGAAAGAGGGCGGTGAATGGTAAGTGAAGCTTACCTTCCTGATGCACGGTACCGTACCGGCTGCCTTCTCAGCAGAGCTCAGGGCCCATTCAGCCACTTACAGAAAGACTTAACTTCCTGGTTGTGTGATAAATGGTGTAAATAGATACTGAAGAACTGTAATAATGTGCCCCCAAAATTGCTTCACCAGTGTGGAAAGCTAACCTGGACCAAGTTTTGTTTATTTTACAGTTAAAGATGATGGAATGCTAAGCCCATTAAATCAATGCTGTTAGATTCCATCAGCTGAGGATCTCCTAGTGTTATGAGGTTGGCTTAGGAGACCTGAGCTGTTATTGAAAGGGCAGCAGAAAGAGTTCAAAGTGCTCAGAGATAACAAGAGGGAGGGAGGGTGAGTTCATAAAACATATTTGAAGCAATGGAACAAGTTCATTTATTATCTCCCCCTGTCTCCCCTCCATAAATTTACTAATTATTAATAATGAAAGAAAACATTGCAAGTGAAATATCTAATTATTTGGAAATACAGAAATGTGAAATTTAATTTTTTTTTTAATAGCATACTATATGCTTCAGATAGGTAGTGTATTTTTTCTTTTCTAGGTGGTTTAGTCAACCATGTTTTGGTTTTATTTTCCTTTTTTTTCCTTTTTTTCTTTTTTTTCACTGTAGGTAGATCTTACGTCAAAAACTTACAAACTGAGAACTTGTGGTTTATTGCAATGACAAACACAAAGTAGCCAAAAACTGACACAGTTCTGTTTCTGTAATTCAGATTTGTGATGCATTGTGACTTGTTATTAAATAACATTATGATATTGTCTAAATACAAAGACAGGCAGTCTCAGGGGGTTTATTACATAGATGCATGCTTTCAGTATGAAGACAATCCTGAAAACTAATACATCCAACAGTTGCTTGACTTTGTTGCCATGTTTAATATTCTCTGTGTGTTTTGTAAATAATAGTTGACAGTTTAACTCTTTCATTACTTGTAGTCACAGAAAGGGAAACTGATGCCTAGCCCAGTAGACTTCACAATTACTCCTGAAACTTTACAAAATGTTAAAGAGGTAAGGGTTTTCTTATTATTTTATTTTACACATAATGCTTTTGTGATTCTGAGTGAGAACAGGAGAGGAATGATTAAATGTGCCCTGCAGATAATCAACTTGTTTGTTTGTTTTCCCCTTTCTCCCTTTTCTTTCTTTTGTAAGCAATCAAGTAATTCTGCCTGATCTCTTGTGATGGTGGTGACTAATGTAAGGTGGAACTTTGTTCAGTAATGGTTAAACATTTTTATCATTTTTCTGAGTGAAAGATGGCAGTGAAGCAAGGGAGAACATTCTATACCACAGGTAGCTGAGATCCTTTAAAAATGTATATTTTGATCCTTGGCTATGCCTTTTTTTACAGCTCCATGTGGCTTTGGGAAGCCTGTGTGAACAGTAGTAGATGTCTTGGTCATTTAGCTTTCTGAACACTGGTTGCTTGTCTGTCCACTGAGACCTGTGTTCTTTTTTCCAGATTTTCTTGTTGTGCTCTCTTTGTTAATAAGGCTGCTTTCTGCTTTAGGGCTCCCTTCTGCATCCCTAATTTGTCTTCCATTGCTCTTAGTCCCAGACTTCTGAATTTAGACCTACTCTTCCACTTGTTTCTCAAAACAGACCTCTTAATCAGCTGTTTGGTTATTTCATACTGTTGTTGACCTTATTCTACATATTCAAAGAATCATTGTGGTTGGAAGGAACCTCTGAAGATTGATTAGTCCAGCTCCTGTGCTCAGAGCAGAATAATCTAGAGCAGGTTGCTCAGTGCCATGTGTAGTCAAGTTTCCAGTTGCTCAAAGGATGGAGACTTGCAACTGCTTGACAATGTTGCAGTGTTTGACCACCCTCACAGGATTAAAAAAAATAAATTTAAAAGTAATTTCCTTTATTTTGATTTTTTTTTTTCCCCATAGCTTCTTGTCCTTTCACTAGATACCACTGACTCCATCATCTTTACTCCTTCTCATCAGGTATTTATACATCCTGATAAGATCTGCCTGAGCCATCTGTTCTGCAGGGTGAACAATCCCAGCTCTCAGGCTCTTGTATGTCACATGCTCTTAGCCATCTTTACAGCCAAATCCAGCAAAGGCTGGACTTGCTCCAGTAAGTCTGTGTTTCTTGTACCAGGACGTCCTGAATTGGACACACTATCCCCACTTTGTCTCACCAGTGCTGAAGAGATGGGGAGAATCACCTCCCTCCACCTGTTGGCAAGACTTTCTAATGCAGCTCAGGGTGCTGTAGGCCCGTTTGTCCAGCCTGTTGAGGTCCCTGTTGCAGTGCAACTATCTGGTTCACCAGCCACTCCTTCCAATTTTGTAGTGTCTGCAGACTTGCTGAGGATGCATTCTGTCCTATCATCCAAGCCATTGTTGGAGATGTGAAGTAATATTGTCTTTAATATTGACCCCCATCACTGGTGTATGCCACTAGTGACTGGCCTTCAGCTGGACTTTGTGCTACTAATCACAAACCTTTGAGTACAGCAGTTCAGGCTGTTCTCAGTCCACCTCCATGTCTCATCTGTACATCTAGTCTGTACTCCATCAGTTTGTCAGTAAGGTTGTTAGGAGAAACAGTATCAAAACCAGCATTGAAGCCAACATAAACAGTATCAATGGTGCTCTGCTTGTCCTGCACGCTAATCATTTCATCATAGAAGGCTATCAGGTTGTTTAAGCATGATTTTGTTTTCATAAATCCATGCTGACTGCTTCCAGTCACTTTTTTGTCCTTTATATGTTTGGAAATGGCTTCCAGGGTTATTTGCTCCATCGCTTTCCAAGCATTGAAGCAAGGCTGATGAGCCTGTAGTTTCTCGGATTTTCGTAATTGAAGATGAGAGACATTTAATATCTTTCATTCCTCAGGAACCTTCTGTGTTCATGACAGCTGTTCAAAGATAATGAAGATTGGCCTCATGGTGACATGGGTCAGCTTCCTCAGCACTTGTGGGTGTGTCCCATCAGGTGCCATGGACTTGTGTACATGGGGTCTGTTTACATGTTCTCTAACCTGCTCCTCTTCTACCAAAGAGAACTCTTCCTTGCTCCAGACTTTCCCTGTGGTTGCAGGGGCCTGGGATTCCTGAAGGCAAATCTTAGCAGTAAAGAGCGAGGCAGAGAAGACATTAAGTACTTCTGTCCCTTTCATGTCTTTTGTCACCAGGTCCCTTGCCGTATTCAGTGTAAGGCCAACATTTGCCCTCATCTTCCTTTTGCAGCTGGTAGACTTGTAGATGCCCCTTTTTGTTGCCCTTCATGTCTCTTGATTCAACTGCATGTGAGCTTTGGCTTTCCCAAAACCATCCCTGCACCCTCAGATAGTGTTTTTATGTTCCTCCTGGGTCACCTGACCCTACTTCCATTTTTTGTATACTTCCTTTTTATGATTTTATCAGTAGCATCTTGTTCATCCATGCAGGTCTCCTCCTACCTTAGCTTGACTTTGTGTATGTTGGAATAGACCATTCTTGAGCATAGAGGTGGTGATTGTAGAAAACCAACCAGCTGTCATGGCTGAACTCTAAATCCAGCTGAGTTAGAGGATGAGCAGCTTGTGGCCAGCAGCCTCTCATGTCTCTGGAGACTGCTGCACACTGAAAGCATATGTTTTTCCAAATATAAGGGTATAATAACTATTCTTGGTGGTAAAATTACTTTTGAGACTACTGCTAAATACTAAGCTCTCAACAGTCTGCTCTTCCTATGAACCAGGTTTCCATACAGTATCTTCTGTTTCTTCTTTCTTTTCTCTATCTTGATATTCTACTCATTGTCTTAGCAAAGACTCAGTAGTGTACATCATGAGAAAGTCCTATTCTTTAAAAGCTCTTTCTTAAGTTTAATAGCAGACCCTGTGCCTTTATCTATTTCAGGTACATAACCACAAAAGTAGGTTCTAAAATGTGTGGCATCTCTGATCCAGCAGATCTTGGTATTTAATTGTGGAGCTGCCTAAAGAATGGTATTGAATGTGTATGGTAGTATGGTAGCCTCTCTCTTTTTTTTTTTTTTTTTTTTCCCCCTCCCTCCCTCCATGTCTCAGAAAAATGTATGGGTCTGAAGTGACTACCTGGTGGACAGGTAGAAAAAGTCACTGTTTCAGTATATTTAAAATAATAACATTTCAATTCTCTGCTTGTCTGGAGATTGTAACTGAACTATAATTTCTAGTAGACTTCTAGAAAACTGACAAGGAGGTTTGCAGTAGCCAAGCAAAGCACAAAGCAGTTACATGGAAAACCAGGATAGATTTGCTGATATGTTCTTAATTCTCATTTTTAGAGGATTATGAAATAGTGTGTAACTGATAGGGTCTATGAGAGAAGACCTAGCTAGGATTAAAATATGAAGAGTACTGACAAGAGTAGTAAGGCTTTGGGAGAAATATAGCTTAAAAGTACCCAAACAAGTCTTGTAGACTAGGATTGAGGAAAATGGCCTCAAGTTCTTGTTCCACAAGTTCCTTTTATCTCCATCTCTTAGGTTCCTGAGCACTGTACTTCGGGGGATAGCTATATGATGTCCCTGTGAAGCAGGGAAGTAAGTCTGTGTTTACTAACAGTGGTGATGAGAAGAACCTGCTGGGGATCATACAATAAAAAGGCATTTTACTAATACTTTATTAGGACTCAATATTTCATAGGGTGGTTTTGTCAGAGATATAACTTCTGTTATTTTAAGTTAGGAGAAGATACCCAAGTGAGGTCACACTTACTAAACATATGAAAATTCCTCTCTCTTTATTTCCTGCAAAGATTTATTCTGAGTGGAACAGCTCAGTTCTGCGGAGGTGTTGGTTATCTGAGTGAAACAGTCTAAACAGTAGCTGGGGAGAACTTCTTTGACGTTGCTACTGGCAGCCAGGGCTAAGAAGCAAAACAAACAGATTGGGAGAAAAAAGTGTTTGAGACAAGAGAGTTGGTTTGGAAGAAGGGAAAATCAGGCAAGGAAATCTGACACCACAAGCTAGTGTGAACAGGTAGGGGCTAACATCAAAGGTGTCAATAACAACAAATTAAGGAGGGAGAGAACAATAAGGCTTGCAAATTAAGGGGAAGGGTAGAGCAGGATGCTCAAAGGGTTTGAAATAGTTGGATGGTGACGATAGGAGCTGAAGACATAGGTAGAAAACTTTACTGTTTCAGTTGCCTCCTGTCAGAACTTGAATTGTAGCCAGAGCTTCTGGCATATGAGTTTCTCTGCTGGCCTAAAAAAAGGGGAGGGCCGGGGGAGCAAACCCCCACTCTAGTCTTTTATGGAGACTGATTATAGACTGTTATCTTCAAAATAATAGTAAGCTATTCTTACTGCTCCTTCCTTTACAGCAAGCATGTTTCCTATTTTATAAGAAAATTTTAAAAGTTCAGTGTGATTCTGTATTCAAATTAAGCTCTTTATTAATTGTCCTTAATTGGTGTCTTGGTACATAAGCAGTATGCTACATCTTGCGTTAAATGAAGATTTTTAAATGCCTGTCTTCCTTCCCAATAATAGTGGCCATGAGAGAGAAATTTAAAAAGGTGGGAAAATCACTGAAATGATAGACTATAGCGTAATCCATAACAAAATGGGTCCAGAATGCACTTCTCTAGAGCACTGCCAGCTGACTTAAGTTGACCGTCCTGTTAGTTCCTGCCAGCGTACATCCTTCACCATGCGATTCCTGACTTCTAGATTAATTGTAACAACCAAGTTTTGTCCGTGCCTCCCAGGAAAAATGCTCCTGTGGATGGAATGGGTAGGGGGATGCATGTCAAGGCAGGGGGTAGTAAGAGAGATCTTAATGCATCTGCATAAGGATGCATATTTAAAGAGTTAGATTATTTAAGTTATGTGCGGCATTTCTGAACTTTTGAGTTCTTAACTTCGTGATTTTTTGGGATTTCCTATGTATTTTGATAACTGTCTGTAAGGTATTTTTTTCTTCATCTGCTCTCAGAGTTGTCTTTTTTTTTTTT